CGGACGGACAATTGATGCAGAGTACTTTCTGTCGGGCGGACGCTTGCGCCACCTAGCTCACGCATGCTCAATTACAGCATTCAGTTTAGTTTCGGTTTTGAAATGCGACCGAAATTGGTCCTTTGGTGCAGGCTTGGCGCAGATCACCCATATTTCGGCAAAATGTAGCAGCATGTAGCAGGGTTGGGCCCTTGGCGCAGCAATCACATCACTGTAGTATAAGAAGAGTAGACAGAATAACTAAATTGTAAAACTTTTTTGGAGAAGTTTTAATTCTTCAGCAAGATAGTTCTGCCATGGAAACCATACAGATGATGAATGTTCTAACTTAGGGCATACAAAGGTAAGGTATGCAACGCATTTATTATTAGGAGGGGCTAGTATTAAATTGTCCAGGAGAAAGTCAAGTGCGCTGTCTTCCTTACCGATAGTAGGTCTAATGCGGGTGATCCGTGTAAAATTTCTTGTTATATAAAGAAAAACATATTTATAAAACAAGAATGTGCTGATGATGGTATCGTTAATACTGTAGACATAAAAAGATGGTAATGAAAGCTGAGCAAATGTAAGCAATTTGCATTTCTTTATCCTCGAGGACAACAGCCACTATCACACCAACCCGCTATGGATAATAAGGCAGTTTGCAAGGATAAGTGATGATCGCCATCTGTGACAGGAGTAAATTAGTCATCTGTGAAAAGTCAGATAGTGGACGCAACACGAAAAGGATGATCATTGATACAGATTAGGAAAAGAAGCGGTCTGAGCATGTTTTCTAAAGGAATGCCCAATGTTAAGTTGGACTTGGATCACATGAAGTTATTTATAACAGTGCATTGAACTTGATTGGAAAAAAAGTCAGTCAAATTTAGGGGTTTTACGTGCCAAACCTACGACGGGCATCTGGCACGCCCCAGCGGAGGACTGAGGATTAATTTTGACCACCTGGGGATCTTTTGACGTGCAACCGAAAGCTCGGTTACACGGCGCCTTCTCCGCAATAAGCCTCCGTCATATTGTGGGGGCACCTCGGTCGGGATTCGAACCCGCCACCTGGGGATCTGTAGGCCGGCGCTGTCGTCTCAGAGCCACCGAGGCGGCTAACTTGATTGGAAACAAATTAGAAAATCCAGGCAACAATAAAGGGATCAATTGTGACATTGCACGATAAGGTGGTTATGAGACACCAGGGCCGTAACAGATAGGGGGTTCTGACCCCCCCAGAAATTTTTTTCTGGGTACGGCCCTGGTCGGTGCACTTGCAGCCAGCCGATTTTAATCTCCGCCTCTGCGCACGCGCAGTGGCGCGGTCAGCTACCGGATACCAAACCGGGACCGGTTCTCCGGTTTGCTGCAACTCTCCATTATATACCACCGATGCACATGATTCATAGGTGAAAATAAGACAATAGACACTTTCAAAATGGCCGCCGTTGTCGCCAAAAACCCCCCCCGAAATTTTTTTCTGGGTACAGCCCTGTGAGACACCCTGTCAAATGCTTTTGAGAAGTCTAGGAATATACAGTGGTGAAACTGACAAGAGGTGATTTGGAGCAGCTCTTGTAACAGGAAAAAATCGGTTTTGGAGCAGACAATTTTGAGCTTTCATGTCAGAAAGTTTTATACAATCTCTTCGAAAGTTAGCCCATAGAAAAGACTGTAGCTGTTGGAGCATTGGGAGACTGAAGTGTTATGCCCACAGAGGACCTGGCCTGTACAGATATTTATTTATTTATTTATTGAACAGTCATACGCCAGCAATTTTGTAGAAGTCTCAATTAACCTATTATTAGTACCGATGGCATCTTCAGTCTGTGTTTAACGTAAAAAGATATTTTCGGCTACTTTGTAGCGGGTTTTATTACAGTGACGTAATTGTCACAAATTTAACATCAAACGGACACTTATGGTTGAAAGTGCCTCACATTGCCCTCCCTCGTATTCAACTTGCTGCTGTTCATAGAACAGCTAAGCGGAGCACATAGCTACTCTAACCGATCACGAGTAGCGGTAGCTATTCATTGCGATCGATGTGAGCACCGTTCGCAAAAAAAAAGAAAAAGACGACAACTCTTCATTTGGCATGAGCAAAAATAGATGTTGGGTTTCAAGCAAATTCAAAGTGAATAGTAATAGTTCTTTCGGTCGAATATTTTTTAATTGAATATTGAAGACTTTTTGCACCTTTCTCCATGCCTTTTACTACTGTTCCACCATGCTTAAACAAAAATTCAGCTGGACTCACGAAGGTTGTTCCTAATTGCCCACTTATGAGTAGTTAAATTTAATCTAGCTATATTTATAGACTGTAGCCTCAGAACGTCCAGTACCTACAGTGGGATGGCAAGTAAATGACAAATTTGACATAAAATTAAGCCTATAAAGGAGCCTAGCCATACATAATAGAGGGGATTTTAAAAATTTTGTGCCTATATAAAAATATTTTTGTTGATTCTGAATTTAAAAAAAGCACAAACAATAAACAGAGGTTTTTTGAACATTGCTGCCTACAGCCTGTTGTAACTCAAGAAGGTAGAGTGAGGGTAAGACGGGCCAGGAAAGAGGAAGCAGATGGAATGCTGGAGAAGAGAGGGGGAAATCTCTCTTAAGTGTTCCGTCTGCTTCCTCTGCCCCGGCCCGTCTTACCTTCACCCTACCTCCTTGACTTGCAACGGACTCTAACATATACCCTTGAATAATAGTCACAGTTAAATTTTGAAGATTTTACTGCAATGTAATAATAACGATCCCAAAAGTTTTATGTTTTTTTGTTTTGTTTTTTTCTTTTAATATACATTAGGCCTGCGCGTGCACCATACTAGTTTGAAGATGTGCTTTTCGCATAAGCGCGCGAATGAGCTGCGGCGAAGCGGGTAGCGAGATCACTGTGTCAGCTTCATGGGTGTTGCTTCTCTGCAGTGCCACTGTGTTTGAGGAGAAGCGCACTCAAGGGGGCTAACCCACCGCAATCAACACTTCGAAATGTATGAATATTGCAGTTAATTTTTTAAGCGAATATCACCATATTATTTCAAACTACTATTAGAAAATTAAAATATTCGCGTAGCTCTATTCTTCGCACATACTACTTAGGCATCAAGAAAAAAAAACTACTTTCTTAACTTTCAGTGGCATCGCTTGTCCCGTGCCAGACACTTTCAGTTTCCTTTTCGAGAACTGCTCCCTTTCGGCGCAGACATGACGCAAATTGCGCGCAAATACAGCCTTTAGAGCAGCATGTAGCAGGTTATTCATTCTGGCACAGTTTGGCGCAATTAGCGCAGCAGTTTTACCACTGAATATAGCAACGGTTTGTTGTTTACGTTGCAAATTTAATTGAATGTCATGTATAAATCACAAAAGTTGTATTTTGCATGATAATGTCTTTCTAAATCTGTGCTTATTTTTGTTTAGGAGCATATTAGGCTCAGTGTATCTAATGATGTTTGAAGATATCATGCTGAGTGATATAGAACAATAGTGAGGTGAATTTCTATCTCCGAACCTATGTACCTACTTTTTGTATAACATGTATTAAGTTATGTTAATCGTTTAGTTAACGCGTTTTCTGTATACATTTATTACCCTGATTGTTTTTCCTGCATCTCCGTCACCATCTGCCAAGCTCTCGGGGCCCGGACCTAGTAAGCCAACAAAGATTGGCTTTTTTGTCCGTGGTTTCGACATCTGTACTTGCAGATGCAATAAATGATTTGATTTAATGTACAGGGATTACATGGCTGATTTTTAAAAAGGCCCTGCAAGGACTTTTGTACTGGTTTTTAATTTGCACCGAACCTGAGTGCACTGAATGTCGTATCTTAATGAAACTGTTCTTTTCACGAATTTTACTTTATTTTAAAAGATATAAGCAAATTAAAAATACAAAAACAAGCACAAAAACCCTCTTTCATGACGTCCTCGTCGCTTGAGTGGTCGTGAACTAGAGCAGGATTAGTGAGCTCAACAAGCACACACGGCTGCCGCACTCCGTGTCGATGGCTCGAGAGGGCGCCACTAAAGCATGTTCCGGCTAGGCTGTATGAAGCGGGCGGCCAGGGTGGCTCGCACTGCACTTGCTGCACGATTAAACACTGATTCGGCATGACACTTCATTGGCCACCAACGATAGCAAACACGAGTTAAAAATCAGTTCAGAAAGGCAGCCACTTCGCGCTACCACACCACCAAACGGCCAAATCGCAAGCCAAATCTGCTCGCCAAAGGCCTTCGAAACGCTCGGAACCAGTCGGATCCTCGAACCGTATACGACCGCAGCGCCGCCACGTACATCGGAGACCTTTCTACACTCGCCGCTCATCGGTGCCTGACCCCACTACCCCTCTAGTATGCGCCGCCTTTTCCACCGATTGGTGGTGGATATGTCGACGAGTCATTTCTTGTTTCCGTCTTTATAAACTGCATTTGTTTATTTTCTGATCTAAAATACTGAACAAAAAGTACTTTCATAAATATCTGAAACGGTTCGCGCCACTTATATTTTGTATTTCGACTAAAAAGAAGCTTTTAGCGGGTCTGACCAGTAGACTACACAAATTGCGCGCTTTCGGCACCGCAGGTCGCCCCCGTAGGTGGAGGAGGTTTCCACATCGTCCGGTTAAAATATAACGCACTGGTATTTAGTTACTCTCTCCGTGCCCGCTGCCTTGCCCGAACCCCAATAGATTTGGAAACCGCAAAGAAGGTAGACGCTTAAATATGATTGCAGGGCCCCTTTAAGTCAAGAGGTATGCTACCAGAGGAGTGATTCTCGATAGATGTCAGTTAGAACCAGAAATTCTATATGGCTTGGTGTTTTCCATGACTGCAATTTTATGTGGTTGCCACCAGAACTTGTGGAAAGTTCCAGATCTTCAATGGCTAAGGATGTATATCTAACAATTATATTCTGCAGATATTAAACAGGGAATTGCCATTATTACACAAATAATTACAATGCTCCAAGAAGTAATTCCACTAAAGAATAAAACTGAACATACCAACAGCCTCCTGTCAGCAGCTTCCATGAGTCTTGGTAGTTTCAAACTGCAACATGTCCTCTAGAAGTGGAGCATAAATGGCTCTGGTCTGTGCCTGGTCTGGTGCTCTAGCTGTCTGAGGGCCATGAGTCCACAGTCACTTGAGCCTTGGTTTCACCCCTCTATTCTTCTACACGGGCCACAAGCTGTAGTACCAGGCTTGCAGTAGAAAAGAAACTGAAGGTGTTAAAGATGCACTGCTGAAAAGACAAGGCACAAAAAAAACCATTAACTACTTAGCTTGAAAGGTGCTAAAAAAGAAAATCCTACAGATTTAATTAGAACAAAACTTTGAAGATTCATCTCAACCACCCAGGTATTGTGAACCTAGACTGATCTTGCAGCACAATAAGCCTCAGTCAAATTGCAGGAACCTCAGTCTGGTTTACAACCTAATAACTCGGCATCTTGCCTCAAAGCCAACTTTCAATTAACAGCTAATACATTAAACTCTGAAGATACAGCACCAATAAGAGATGAGCATGGTCATGACAGCCTGCTTGACTTACAGTGTCAAGTTAATGGTTAATCAATGAAACTATTCTCCTATGCCCTTGAAAACTGTGGTCGAGACAAACGTTACAACCAAAAATATACTTCAAGTAGCTGTCAGCATGCGCTGTACAAGCAGAAGTGTCAAGGGAAGGTTGAAAGGGCCACAGGAAAGCACTGGCTTCCCAAACCTTAGATCCGCCACCCGAAAAACACCCTACTTTCACAGGGAGGAGGGAGCTAGCCTTGTGGCTACAATTTCAGCTATCTGCTCACGTGATAGGGACAGTATACCCAACCTCAACATCAGATTGGACATAGACTGAAGGTTCAGTTGACCGACTGCTTACAAAGCAAATTGCACGGACCAGAGGAGCCTGCTTTAGTATGTTGGTCAGCGACTGTGTGCTGAAAAATTAACAAATAGGGAAGAGTCATGCTAATGCAGTGCTTATATCTGTAGTGAGTTTGAAAGAAAAAGATTATGCACGTAAAATGCTTTCAACAGGCTTGTGAATGTGCATTAAAAATTTGCATAAAGATGTTGGCCTGAACTAGGTTTCGGTCGGTGCTGCTTCAATTGCTCACAACTGATCTCATTCCAGGGGTAGTGATTAACAGAAATAAAACAGGCACAAAGGCTGTTTCACACACTTGCGACTGCTTCTGGCTGGAGAGGTTAAAAGACTGGCTTTAAACCTCTATAAATGCTTATGACTGCCGTGCCGGTTGTAGGCAGTTGCAAGTGTGTGAACCATGCCTGCTTTCTTCTGCAGTAATACACTGCACAAGGAAACTTATTGTATGTTTCTATAGTTGCAACACAAGAATGCGGTGAGACTGGAGTATTCAAGTTCTAGTGCGGTGAATCACAGTTTGCTCTTCTATTTAGGCCTGCAAGAATGATGTCCTGGGAATAATAACAACATCAAGCCTATACAAACAAAAACACCTACCTGCTTCCAATCATACTTTGAAAAGACCTTGTTTTTTAAGGCATGGCCAATAAAAGAAAAAGCTGATGGCCATAGAGAATCTTCAGTCACAGAAATAACACTATATACTGCCATATATGTCAGGATAGACCATATCCCAAATTAACCATGCACAAAAGAGAATGCTGAGAATGTATGAACATACACTGCATGTGCTGGTGTCTGCAAGCGAATCTGTTCAAAGGTAAAAATCTAAAATAAATAGCACATTGCACACACATTCCTCGAAACCCTATTTTGGTTTTTTGCCTCGAATCCTTTATGCAGAGAAGGCAAGCGTGTGCAACATGTGTACCTACGTTTTCAGCATTCCCCTTGGTGCTTGGGTAATTAGCAAAAAGTCTATTGCTGAAGTTGTGTCAAATGTGTGTCCAAGCAACACACTGTGGTCGTTGCAGACATCGTGCTTGCAACGGATGCTGTCAAAGCTACAGCTCCTGATGCAAATTTCTGAAAGGGCCATTAGAGGCAAGCACACATGTCAAAACGTCGGTGAGGGGGGGGGGGGGGGGGGCAACTTACCGGTGAAATTCCGCTGCCTCAAAGAATCATGACCACCTGTGACATCTTCGGGCGATAGTAGCTCCTGGGGTGCTATTAGAAAATAAGATGGATTGTTAGGTACAAATCTTCTAATACTCAGAATTTAAAAAATAACTATCAATTGAGTGCAGAACCCTCAGATGCATCTGCTATATAAATGCTTGTGCAGCGAGAGCACATTCGAAAAATGCGACCTCCTGCTGAAAATAACAATGTATGTATGCTTTACATGCAGCATTTCTTTGCAGAGCTGGTGGTTGCATATTATCACTGTTCTCGAACTTCCACTTCTATGGTGCACAACCATGTGTTCTATGTTGAAATAGAACACAGGGCTCTCAAACCAATAAGTGTTTTCACGACAATGTCATACCTACAAGTGTTCATTCTGTTGTTTGTTTGTTTTTTCCTGTTTTTATCTCTTGAGACATATGATAGTTATCTCTTCGCTGTTTTTGTAGCTCGCTTTGTCAAGAAGATGAAAGAGAATACCTTGTCAAGCAAACAACTGTTGGCTTTTTGTCTGCCTCCCAGCATTTGTACTTGTACAGGTGCAAATAAAATGATTAATTGATTGATTGAACTAACACAAAATGGAAGTGCAACAATCTAATTCATTCCCTATAATCAAACAACAGAATTCACGTTTGAAAACAATACAGGTGCCTTCACTAAGGGAAGAAAAAGGTAAAATGTAGGCTTCAAAAAGCAAACATATTGTAGCCAATGGCGTCATGTCACTTGACACTCAGCAGACTACTTCCCGCTGCATATGCTTAGCTGTTGGCATAGGCACATAGCCCCCTGCTTCTCTCATTCACCGTCCTCTCCCCCTCCCTCTTTGTGTCACACCCTCATGGAGCTTTGGGAAGCAACTTGAAGCCAATATATATTTTGTTGCAAGTTAAAAGCCTGGGTCATCTGTATTATATTTTATGTCCCTCTTTTCTTGCCCAGTTTTCTCGCTAGACTGGCCAGGCAACAATCAAATGCAGGCGCACTTACTGCTCCCTCTCTTAAATCTAGGCTCTCTCCGTCATCTCCGCCGGCATGTTGTCGTTAGCGCTCCGAACGCCTCTATCGGCATGCCACAACGGCTTCTCCGCGTGCAATGCGGTAAAGCTGCTTCCCAGATAAGGAGCGGAGAGCAGACGACAGCCTTTCCCGCATCTTCTACTGCCTGTTTTGGGTGCCTTCTTGGTCGTGACAGTAAGGTGCGGCGGTCTGAGACTTAGGGCCAGTTGCACCAATGCAGCTTAACGCAAATCAGAGATTAGCAGGGAACCTAAGCCGAGTTTTGGTTTTGTTCTGTTGCACCAAAATCACTTATCGCTAAACCTAGCACTAAACCATGCCTATCGTGAGCGCTCAACATCGGGTACTTTACTTGGTCGTTTCTTAATCCTGGATTTAAAACATGCCGGCTGGTTTGTGGCGGTCTACACGGTGGACGAAATTGGTTGTACAAAGTGTTTTAGGCTACAGCAGCGTGAGAGCCTCAACAGAATGACCTTCGATTGCGACAGATGCAAAATATTATGTGAAGTGTTTATCGACCCGTTTTCAAGTTGACTTTCCAGTCTCAGTGTGTGTTAGCCCTAACCAGGGAAGGTATGCAGATGTGGGGCTCACGCACGGCTCACGTCCATCTTCCCATTGGTTTTTATTTCAGCGTGCTTATTCGTATGCAGTTATTTGCGCATATCTGTAACGTATTGCTATTTACAACCTTGTTTATCTTAGAGCGCAGCTCTTAGGCACCCGTTTCCGGCTTGAGTGGAGTCGGCGTAACCGCACGGTGCATTATGGAACACTACCCATGATGCAATGCGCAGGGAGGAGGATGAGGGGGAGGGAAGGAAGGAGGAGGAGGGGGAAGAGAAGGAAGGAGGGGAGGAGAGAGGAGCTTGAAGGATGAGGTGAGGGGGAGGTGAAGGAAGATGAGGAGGAGGGGAGGAGTAGCAGGGAGGATGAGTGGGTGAGGAGGAGCAGGGAGAGGGGGTATACCCTCCCCTCAGTACCCTTCCCTCATCTTCTTTAAGAGCTGTGCTCTAATTCGGCGTTACAGGGTGTTGTAAACGTCAGATTTTTACTTTCAATGCATTTCCTTTTTTCCAATCAGCGCGTTGAATAGCGGCAGTGCACGATCTCGGCGATCAGCCGATTGTAGCCCCATTCTTCCGTTGTCATTAAATTGCGGTGAACAACGCATTTAGACAATAATGCAACGAAAAGGCTATTTTTTTTTTTTTTTTTTTTTTAGTGTTAGGACAATTTTTAAGAGAAGTTTCTTTGTCTCCCGAGTAAAATCTTAGCTTCGGAAAACTGTGTCGTTCTACAGTCGAAACTTATCTGGTGACCGCACTTTGTAGCGGCGACAAGAAATCATAACGACTAAGATGCGAGATTTGCTCAGCACTGTATTAGGGCAGGCTGTGGGGGGTGGTGCGAAGAGATGACTGTTCTCATAGACACAATGTGATGACCTAGTGTGAGTTTTCATACTTCAAAGACTGCCACCGCCTTACGTTCAACTAGGGAGACAGGCAGTGTACTGTGCCACAGCTCACACGCCATGCCCCTCTGGGTACAGATGTTACAACATGTTCTGCAGTACCGTAGAAGCTAATAATCGTTCAGTAATTGTATTTGCACTTCGATATATTTAAATTGTTGTCAAAATTGAATACAATATTTACTTTTATTTTTGGGGTGCACTTTGTTGCAATGCACATAAGTTGTGTTGTGAAGTAGGCATCATGAAAATACCCAGTATTTCTGTTTTCTGGCTGCACTTGGAAATTTTTTATACAAATATGTATGGTTAAATTATCCTTGGCAAGCAACTGGACCCCAGCCCTAGACTCAAGCCTTGCTTATTCCAGCATCTGCTCATCTATTTTCTTAAGGAAATAATTCAGGTACTAACAAAAACATGAAATGGTTATGAAGGCTGATCGGGAATCTGAATGGTTTATTTTGGAAAATCACGTAGGTCATAAATGACCTAAGCTTAATGTGATAATCCTAGTGTTGGTTTTCATGATTGAGATCTGAGGCAGAGCAGGTGAAATAGAAAAGAAACTTTGTACAATGTCTAGGTCTAAGGCACAGCTTGTATTTGTTTGCTAAAAGACAGAACTAACAGACACTTAGAAAAACCCTCAACACCTAGGCATAGAAATTAGAACAGCATAATAGAACCAGAGGAATGAAATGCACGACTGCCACAGAAAGATGGAACTTTACCAATCTGGGGAAACTTTACGTAACACTGACTATTTAAAATAAGTGAGAAACCAGACCGTAATGCAGCTTGCTTTTTGAACTAACCTAAAATTAACTATCTTCAATTTTATGAGCTAACAAAATATTGACTGATGCAGCACAAAGAAAGTCAGAAGGTCAAGTTACAAGGTTACATGTAAAGACCCCAAGTTAGCAGTCATGCTGCATATGGTAAGTTTTCTTTCTGCAGTGGAGACACAAACAGTCTAATTTCATAGCTGACAGATTCATCACTCTCTGAAGGCTAACAACCCATTTAATTTTGACTTTTATGACCATAATAAGGTCAAAGTAGGAAAGTTTTAACCTACACAAAGATATACCAGGTGTTTCTTTCAAAACTTAACAGATTTGTTTAAAAAGCCGTGAAAGTTACACTTATGCGGTTTGTGCAGATGAGTTATACAGCCAGGGGGATAGAGTGTTGGGGCTAATTGTAACGATCAGTCAGCTAATTATTTAAAATTCGTTAATTAACTTTTTAAATAATTAAAAATCGACACATAGTTCCAATTAGAAACTTGCTAAGCGCCATTGAAAACCACTAAATCAACTCTTTTTAGAACATAAAGCATGGGCAGCATTTTACGTCGTTCTAATGAAGCGCTCAATTTGGATGTGTTTCTAGGTTTCGCTTACTTATCCGAGCACATCTCTGCGCCCGCAATCCTGTCCCCTCCCCCTCCCCTCCCTCCTCCTCCTCCTCCTCCTCCTCCCCCGGTAGTCGCGGCGCAAAGCCACTCCCTCGCTTACCTTGTAGCATAGAGGGAAGTTGGGCGCAACTGTGTTGCACGTCTCAGTCACTGTCGAGCAGGACCGTGGGAGCAGAGATGCACTGCAATAACAAATCGAAACCTAGAAACGCGTCCACATCGAGCGTTTTCATGGAACGCTGTAATATACAGCCCCTGCGTTATATCTTTCGAAAAAGAGTTGATATAGTGGCCTTAGGTGACGCTGAACAAGTTTCTAATTGGAACCACATGTCTATTTTCATTTATTAAAAAGTTAATTAACGAATTTTACTTAATTAGCCAACTGATCGTTACAATTAGCCCCCTATACTATGTTCCCTTGGCCGTATACCTCACCTGCGCAAAACCGCTTTAATGTAACTTTCATTTTTTAAAACAAAGCCACAAAGAGTGTCTTGGTGTAAATGCTATATGTATTCCGTTACTAAGATTGGCTCATGAAGTAAACTAAACAATGAATAAGTATGGTTGGAGCCAGAATGCAGACGTTACGAAGGATCCATGTCGTACGAGGGTGATTAAAAACTTATTTCACTTTGGTCAACTTACACCTTCTGTTGGCTGCACTGTCTTATCGGCACTTTTCATACAAGGTTGCTGTATCTCCAGTCACTGCTGTGCAGGCTTGAATCTGTTAAATCAGTTCAGTTGGGACTGAGGTGCTAGGAAGAATGGCTGTCCCATGCTTAATTTGTACAAGTGAATCAGTCATCGTTCTCGTGATATGAAGGGGTGTCCAGTAATTCCATATATATGAATATACCGATATCCATAAAAAAAACTTTGTGCACAGTATTATGGAAATGTAAATGTTTTCTCGCAAAGAAATGCGTTTGAATGGATACAGAAGTTCTATGAAGAATGCACGAGTGGCAGTCATAAAGGAGCCAATGCCCATCCATTTCGACGACTGAGAATGACGTTGAGACACATCCGCGAGAGGTGTTGAGACACTTCTGCAAGGCAATGAGGGATCTCCAGAGGAAACTCAAATGCTGAAGATAATCAGAGTATTGTCATCGTCCCCATATCATAGTCAATCATTGGTCTTGAATGGTGCTATTATATTCGAGTTCTCTATTTTGTGACCACACTTGCCTCCAGATGGCTCCAACGTACTGAGAACTACCCCGGGATAGTCATCGGCCTCCGATTGAAGTCAATAATTGGTCTTGAATGGTGCTATGACAACAAAGTTTCCTTTCTGGTGAGCCAACTTGCCTCCAGACATCTCTGCAATGATGAAAACTACCTCGGAATGGTCGTAGTCCTCCTATTGTAGCCAATAATTGGTCTTAGACGGTGCTATGACAACGAAGTTTCCTTTCCGGTGAGCCAACCTGCCTCCAGATGTCTCTGAAATGATGAAAACTACCTCGGAATGGTCGTCGTCCTTCAATTGTAGACAATAATTGATCTTAGATGGTGCTATGACAACGAAGTTTCCTTTCCGGTGAGCCAACCTGCCTCCAGACGTCTCTGAAATGATGAAAACTACCTCGGAATGGTCGTCGTCCTCCAATTGTAGCCAATAATTGGTCTTGAACGGTGCTATGACAACGAATTTTGCTATCTGGTGAGCCAACTTGCCTCCAGACGTCTCTAAAGTGCTGAAAACTACCACTGGATGGTCGCTGTCCCTAAAGTGTAAACTGAACTTTGAAAAAAAAAATGTGGTCGTTAAAATTATTAAAAATCATTTGACAATTTTGTAATCCTGACATGTTGCAAAGGGACAGATGCTTAAGGAACTATATCATGTAAAATTTACTGAAAGGACAGATATAAGGGCACTGCTATTCTGATTTCAAATGCAGCACTGATAATAGGCACATTCAAGTCCCACTAAGTTTGTGCTTAGGTCTTGCACTTAGGTGTTTGCTGCTCCAAAACAGTGTTTTGGAGCAGCAAATGTGGCCTTTGGAGCGGCCAAGATAGTGTGTTTTGGAGCAGCAAAAGTGGCTTTTGGAGCAGCGAAAACAGTGTTTCGGAGCAGAAAAAGTGACTTTTGGAGCACACATTCTTAGAAAAATAAATATTTGTTTTAAATGCTGGACAAACGAAGGGCACTTTGTGTTGTGTTGTGATGCGACGTGTTTGGGCGGAATTCGCTGCTTGTGTTTTTGCTGCTGAGACATCCCACAAGTATACAGTGCTGTAAGCGTTGCCAAGCAATTCTGAAAAAAAAAAACAAAAAAAACACTTGCTTTCGTTTTACTGGTTTTCAACGTGGCAGATCTTCATAAAAAGTAAGCAAACGCAAGACATTAGATTGCAAGCGTCCTGGATGGTGCCTCTCGTGCAATCATGTTCACATGCACGTGAGGGCAACTTCGGCAGGCTTGCACCTAGACGTGCTTCGTCGCATGAGCAGAGACAACGGCTGTTCGACCGAAACCGAAACCATGCCACTCCGCTTTGTCGCCAACTGGTTCCCAAAATAATATACATGTACAAAATGTAACTGTCCAGCATACGACAAACAGTCCAGCGGTGCGTGCTTGCCAGGCCGGTGGGCGAGGTACAAGCTAAACACACAAAAAAAAAAGGACCTGAGCGTATCGATGCAAGACATTGCGAGCCAGGGTCAAGAAGTTTTTGGAGCGCTTTGTGCAACGACTGAACTCGAGACAAACAAGCGTGCTGTGCAGGTTCAGCGTGCAGGCATTGCCTTCTTTGCTTTAGGTCACTTATCATCAACATTCTTTCGCGGCAGATTTTTCACGTACCGGGGTCCCTCTCGGGAGAAAGCCCACCGAGAGAAACCTAGGTAATTATTATTTCGACACAGCAGTCATTGAGTTAAAGAGGGATTTTTATAGCAGCGTATGATTTAAACAAGAGCAGGAATGTCGATGCGTTTCAGTTTAGAAAGCATTATATCTGCAGCAAAGTGGGGACGGCAACACACGACGTCGCGCAACGAGAGTTACTTTGTGAGCTTTGTGAGCACAAAGTAACTCTTGCCACGTAAAAACGTGGTTTTGTTTCACAGCATGACGGCAAGTCTGGAACCCGACACACTAACGTCGGAGTGTCCGCGCACACGGCCGCGTCTATCACTAAAAAATTAAAAAAAAGAAAAAAAGACGCGAGATGAGATTCCCGAGACGACGAGAGTGCGAAACGCGAGACGGCGGGAAAAATCATGCAAGACTGCATAGATGATTGATGCAGGGTACTTTGCGTCGGGCAGCGTCTTGTGCCACCTAGCCAACGCATGCTCAATTACGGTTCTCAGTTTAGTTTCGTTTTTGAAAGGCGACCAAGATTGGTCCTTTTGCGCAGGTTTGGCACAGATTAGCCATATTCAGGGGTGGAAGCGGGCTAGAGCCTTTTGTAGCAGGGCTGGGAGCAGCAAAAGTCCCAATTTGGAGCAGTTTTGGAGCAGTAAAACGCTCGCTTTAGAGCAGCTCGGGAGCAGCAAAAATAAGTTTTGTAGCCGTAGAAGTAGGTTTTGGAGCAGGTCACGGAGGTCAAAGAGGTGACTAAAAGTGATTTGTTGTTGCTAAATGTGAAAATGAAGCAAAAATATATGCATGCACATCCCAGAATAATTTTCAAGCAACATACATACACATTTTTCTATTTCTATTGCATTGAAATATGGAATAGTGGCAATTTATGCAAAGGAAAGGCTTTGAGAACCATTCCGGCAGCAGGCAGAGTCATGATAGACTTTATATGGGAGGCCCCGACAATAAAAGCCTAACTTGAGCCACGCCAGTACAAAACCGTCTACTTAATAGACCAATTGTAAACATGTATCCAGAAAACTAAACCACTGCAAGGTGTCAGATAAACTACCTTCGCTGACTACAGCTTTTGTTTAATAAAGAATACACATGTTCAATCACTACTTAAAAAGCCCTCCCTATTGGAAAACAACAATATAAACAGCGTATTATGGATATTGGTAAACAATATCTTTTTATTGTATTGCAATACAATACAGACAGTGTATTGGAAAACATTACATTTATTGTATTGTATTACAATAAGGATTTGTTATGGGATTCCAATATCCATAATACGCTGAAAATATTGGAATCCAATACCGTATAAACCCCTATTGGATCCCCATGTGTCGTATGGGGATCCAATAAGGGTTTACGATTCCAATATACTCAGCGTATTATGGATATTGGAATCCAATATATTATATCGGCTACCAATAAAACTATATGCGAGTTGGAATATCACGTTCAGCACGACATTTCTTTGCAACGCAGTCTCTTCTTGTGTGTATTTCTGAGTGATAAAAGAAAAAGTGTTGTTGTTGTCAAATGATGAATAAAGAAGCAAAACACTGGGCTTATCCATACCAAATATATTTAACATATTCCTGAACTGGAGGATCTGGCATTTACTGCAAAAGAAAGTTAATTGTTTAGGACCCTCATTCAAAAACTTGCTGTTTGAAAACAGAATGTGAAATCCTCACCTTTTAATGAAAGCAGCACCTGCTAGCTGTAGCCATATAGAAACTGCAAAATAAAAATTTGTGATTAGTTCGCAACAAGTAGCAATCCTTCACTAAGCTGGATAGATTCAAAATTATGTCTGCGTTTGATTGTGAAAAAATAAGCTTCCATTCCACTGCCACGGATCATTCTGAGCTCCGTCAATTAAATAAACCTATCGGCTCGTCTGGCTTTACAGTTCCTGCTTTGCACCTAACCACGGTGAAAGATACACTCTTTAGGTGAGGACACGCCGGGGCTGAACGCGCGGCACGAGGAATCAAATAGTGTTCGTTCGACGGGCATCCGAAAGACTGCATCATTCGACTGCCACCGTGCCCGCGACTGACAGTGTCACCGGCGGCCAAACGGCGGAACTGTGTGACAGCAAAAAATCATTATCTCGTTGTCATGACACCCCGGTACACCATGGTCTTTCTGCACGTGTGACAACCTCGCTGGAGCTCTGCGCGTGTGGTACATAAGGCGGCACGAGCCGTCTTGAACGTGCCCACGGGTCGACGAGTCACCTGCTGGCGTTGCTTGAAACCAAAGTGAGAGAGTGTGAAGGGCGAACTTCATCGGGCCGTGGCCAAGAGCGCGCTGTCCTCACCTGAAGAGTATTATCTTACACCGTGCACCTAATTAAAGTATCTGGAATGCTCACCTTTGAGGAAAAACGAACTGGTGCTTGCTTGCTTGTAGGCCGTGGAAACTGGGACAAACTGGGAGAGAGATTTGCGATTAGTTGCGTTCAAGTAGCAATTACATTGAGTAGCCCCGTAAAGTACACTAAGTCGATAGGATGGAAGCTTGGGCGAGTTGGTGAACCATACTTGGCGGTGACAGCGCAGCAAAATTAATCTCACACCAGACACTCAGGAAGACAAGCACACGCGCTGAACTTACAACTCTTGTGTATTCGACTGCTTCATTTTTCTCTTCAACGTCTGGGTTGACTTTTCAGAACGTGATAAGTAGAAGAAGTAGCACGAAATACAAAGGAAAATTCTAAAGAGAAGGCAAAAGAACAGTAAAAGAGAAGACAAATGAAGAAACGGAAAAAATATCTAAACGAAACACTTTTCCAAATTGTCCCTCTCCCTCATCGCTATCATTTAGATAGAAATTGGAGCTCTTTGGTCGACAGCACTATAGAAGGACTACTTACAGACTTGTCCTTCAGCTGTGCTATCCTTTCCGCTTCCATTATTTCTCTAGTCAATGCGTCTCTACTCCTACCTATTACAGAACAATTTTCAAAATGTGCTATACAGCCACAATCGCGACAATGGATTCCCAAGTGTCCAGCTACGACTCGGTGGGTGTTATAAAAATGCTCTCTTAAACGATCATTCAAACACCTTCCAGTTTGGCCTACATACTCTCCACCACATGAGAGTGGGACAGAATATACGACTCCTTTAGTACAATTTACAAAGCTCTTTTGGTGCTTTTTCGAACAACCAACTTCCTGATGTGCCGATCCATTTACCTTCCTGCACAGGCTTAGAAGCTTATTTGGTGCTGAAAAAGCAACATTAATGTTAATGCAGTTACGTATCTTTTTTAGACCGTGCTAAACTTTATGTATATATGGAACAATGGCCATCCTTTTCTTTTCTGTATTGCGTTTAGGTCGTTCACCCCATCTTATTCTCTTTAATAAATCCTCTGCAACGGCTGTAAGTAATGCACTAGGATATCCTGTTGACTTTAACCTGGCGATTTGAGCATCAAAGCTAACCTTAAGTGAATGAATACAAGACTTATTAAGCACACTGGTGAGACATAATTTAACAATGCCTCGCTTAACAAGCTTGGAGTGTGCTGACTGAAAATTAAGAGGTTTCTTCCCCCTCGGTTTGTATGACCAACATACATGATGCTCCGAAAAAATTAATCTGAGGTCCAAGAACCGTAAGGAACCTTCTGTGGAGA